GGAGCTGCTTTGCTTGTGCCTGGGGTTGAGCAGGTGTGGGAAGGGACGATGGGGGTGGAGCAGAGTCCACTCACAGACAGGCAGCTTCGGGTGGACAGGTGGAGGCTGATCATGGCCTGGGTATTGGGCCAGAGCCCAGACCTGGGATGGACTAGGGTCTCTTTAGCACACCCAGAGAGACAGAGACAACACACTGTGTATGATGTATGGTTTCTGTACAAACTGGCTCTCCCCACCAAGAGAGGCTAAAGCTGGGAGTGGACCTGGGTTCCTGACACCATTCTCCAACCAGAGGGACCAGGGCTGGGCAGGAAGCAACATGAGCTGCCAGGAAGCGTGGGGTGTCCAGGTTACCAGATGCAGTGCATGCTGGAGGGTGCAAGGCACAGCTCAAAGGGACCAACGGAGGCCAGAGCCGGGACAGTCTGAGAAGCAGAGTTGTAAGGATCCCAGAGGGGCATAGCCAAGGTGTAAATTAACTGTACAGAAGTCCTCAGTGGCACAGATGGGACAGATGACCAATGCATAGGCAGAGAAGACGTCAGCCTTCCTCTCAGAGGAATTCCAAGCAGGATCCACACACATCACTCCAAGGAGTAGTGTGGGGTTCCCCTCCCTGGAGAGCTGGACTTAGGGACCAGCTTCCTGAGACAGTGGATGACAGGCAGTGACTGGACAGGAGACACCTGACAGACACAACTTAACTGGGTGACCTTGGGTTACGAGAGGCCAGCAGAAGGCTCCTCAGGCCTTCCTCCTGCATCTGCAACTGGACAAGAACTGCCAGGTCCACCTGCACTGCCCTTGAGGGTAGTCTGGAGGCTACCCTGCAGCCATAACCAGTGGGCAGTGTCAGGTAACTCACTCTGGGGAAGTGGGCAGGTGTGTGCATGCCATGTCCCTCGGCCCCAGTGGATGGACACCCAGGCACATCTGCAGCAGGTATAGGGGATCACATAAGGTGGCTTGCCCAGAGAGTGAACCCCTGCTGAGTGGGGCTCCTTCCACACAAGGACCTCAACAGAATGGCTGGGACTGAACACTCTCCTCCTGACACAATTCCAACTCCAATGCGTGGGAGAAAAATGGGATCTGATTTTCCCAACTTAATAGTTCAAGAAAGTAACCACCTATCGGAACCAAGAGAGACTGGGCTTAGATGTCTGAGGACAGGAGCCCTGTTTAATGTCAACTCACGTGGTAGAAACAGCCAAGTAAAAAGTAAAAACAAACACTTCCAAGTCTCACAGATCTTACAGCAGAGCCAGTCAGCCTCAGAGGGCTCAGCCTTGGGCCAAGGAAGGCAGGCAGAACCAGGAGTCTGCCCAGTGGTCACTCAAGGATGGCCTGCAAACACCTCAGGTGTGGGGCTGGGGTGCACCTCAGGGACTTAGCATGTGTGAACCCTAGGTTCAATCTCTCTCGTGTACACACACACACAAATTAGTTTTCTCTTTCAGATAACCTACTGTAAAAACAGAACAGAACTGCCAGCAACACCATCCTTATTGGCTGTTTTTGCTGACTGCTCAAATCCTTGGCACAATAACCTCAAACAAATTTCCACTTAAATCAGGTTCACGGCTCAGAGGTGGGGTGGCATTTTATCAAGGAGCGAGTAATGCCACACTTCATGGGGACTCACATAGCCTGGAAAGGATGCCCAGAACCCCTGGAAGCCCAGCACAGCACCAACGGGTTTCAAGCTTCTTTCTCGTTCTGTTTTCCTCACGTTTTCCAGAGAAGAATAAAGCGTTCTACAAACAAGGGTGCAAGCAAGTGTGCCGATCACTTCAATCCTGTGCTTGGCACATCCGCACAGCCCCTGGTAGTAAAGACTTAACGCGCTACTGATTTGCCTAACAAGCTGTGGCTTGGCAAGGCACTGTTTAAATTGCCTCACCTGTCAGGGGAGTCATAAAACAGTGCCATAGGCAACGTCAATGAGGAAAGGCGAGCAATCAAGTGCAGAGGATGAGTGCCCAGACACGCCCCTGAACCACAGATTAGTAACACCACCCACTAGAGTTACAGCATCTGGGCTAAAACCAACTTTCAGGTCCCTCAAAAGCCCCGTTCTTCAAGGAACTCTTAACCTAGGGATCCAAGGTTCAACCTGGAACCGGAAAGGTATGGGTTACAGTCCTCTGTCCTGGACATCCCTTCTGAAGCTGTGAGTCCCTAAAGTGGGCCACAGGAGGAACTCCAAGTGAAGTTTGACTCCCAGGGGTGAGAGAAACATTCTTTCCCCTCCATTAGCTTCATTCTCAGCTTTCCCAGACTCCAACCCACTCTGGGAGGCAGGTGAGGGATCATCCCACAGGTGTCTACTGCAGACTGAGAGAGCTGGAGAACTGAGGGCCCGAGAGCAAAGCTGACAGGCCCCGGAGGACGAGGACCCTCTCCCCATAGGTACACCATGATGAGGGCCAAGAGCAAGGCTAGGAGTGGAGTGGCAAGACAGGAGAGAAGATGAGAGACCCTCTCCCCAGAGAGAAATTGATCATCTATCAAAGAACCAGACTCTTGGAGAGTCTGGTTCACTGTCCCAGTGAAATCCAGAATCTCCTAGAAGGTGCTCAATATAGGATTGCCCACTCAACCAGAAAACCATGACCCAAGATGACGGGAATTTGCAAAACGGATTCTCCCCTAAATATACTGACTCACAACACAACACAAATGTGTATGTCACTGCACCTCCCTCTGTGCTGGCACCTGGCTGAAATGTCTGCCTGACTCCGTGGCTTCCAGTGTTTCCTCTGAGCTGAGCTTTGAGTCCCTATGGATACCAATGGCAGCTACTCCTGTGAAAGCTGGAGCCCTGGCCAGGCCAAGCTTCGGCTGCAAGGTCACTGAGCCTCCTGTATTGGATGCTTCCCTATGTGGTTTTATCAAAGTCTCCAATGTTATTTTGGCTCTGTTTGTGACAGCACAAACTTCCAGAAAGACTCCTTCATGCTTTGAAGGATAAAGCAACCAGCATTATGGTGACTTTATTTTTTAAAGAGAGACTGAGTGGAAGCCCACACTAGCAATCCCACAGTGACCGTTCAGTAGGGATCCAGCTCTCCTGTGCACCAGGTGGCCGAATTATCACACGAAATGCAAGATGATCTGGCTCTATCATAGGAGTGTCGCATGGACTCAACTTTCCTTCCACGCGTGATGGAACTCTGTGAAGAAATGGAAGGGAGATGCTCGATGCCCAACGAGGATAACCAGACCCAAGCAGTGCCAGGGATGGCCCCTGTGGGGCCAGCAGGGCCACCCCAGCCTGGTCCTCTCCCTGTCCCCAGGCTAAGTTGGGACTCTCAGTTTGGTCTTCCTTACCAACAGGTCAGGCCATCTCCACCAGTGTCTACATACTCACAGGGCCATCCCCTCCCAAACCAAAATTCTGGGTCTGAGGAACTGAGACAGGAGTTGGCATTCACGGCTTCTCCCAGCAGTTCACACGTCCAGAGGTTTTGAGTGTGACCTCGGCTGCAGGTAGGCCTGGCAAAGCATGGGCAGCAAGGGCTCCCAGTCAGCAGGGCAAATCTGAATCTGACCCAATGGCCACAGGGCAGACCCACTGGAGAAGTGATTAAAGTTGCCCCTCCACATCTCTGAGTGAACCTCCTCTGCAAATACCGACTGCAGGGTGAGCGGCTGAGTTGAGGCCACAGCCAGTACCTTAGCTCACCTTCCCTCAGGGACAAAGAGGAAGCTCCATGGGACAGAAGGGGCTGCAGGCAAGTGCAGGATGCTTGCGGCAGTGGATTGTGAAGGGGTGCAGAGCCCCAGATCTACCGAGAACCTCTGCTCTGATCCCTTTCACAACAGCGACCGCCTGGAGCTGCAGGGCAGCAAGTGCTGCACACGTCTCTCTGCTGATAAATTCAGTCTGGCCCTAGGGCCCTCTGCCTGGCACCCTCCCAGCAGACTAGAAGACTACTAGGCATTCTTTAGGAGCTGGAGGCAGAGGCCTTGGAGCAAGCGTACCGAGGATAAGGGGACAGAAGACAAAAGTGGCAAGGTCCAAGTCACCTGATAAGTTCCCTTGCTCCTCAGGCTAGACTTCACCCAGACACACACACACACAAAAGCAAGGAAGAGGAGGCGCGTGGACGGAGTGCGTGAGAGACAAGGGTACCAAGAGCGCAAGGGGTGCCCAGGTGCTTATACGGAGAGGCGGGGCAGGGCGAGAGAAGTAAGTCCCGGTAGGCACGGAGGGATGGGGCTGGGGAAACCAGGTGGCCACTGAGGCGCGGGACGGGGGCTGGGAAGTAGGCGCACGTGGAGCGCGGGGCAGGGGTCCCGGCACGCAGGGAGGGGCGGGGCAGGGAGGGGCGGGGCAGGGGTCCCGGCGCGCAGGGAGGGGCGGGGCTGGGCCTGGCGCTCAGGAGGGGCGGGGCAGGGGTCCCGGCGCGCAGGGGGGGCGGGGCTGGAAAGCCTGGCGCCACGGAGGGGCGGGGCAGGGGTCCCGGCGCGCAGGGAGGGGCGGGGCTGGAAAGCCTGGCGCTCACGGAGGGGCGGGGCAGGGGTCCCGGCGCGCAGGGAGGGGCGGGGCAGGGAGGGGCGGGGCAGGGGTCCCGGCGCGCAGGGAGGGGCGGGGCTGGAAAGCCTGGCGCTCACGGAGGGGCGGGGCAGGGGTCCCGGCGCGCAGGGAGGGGCGGGGCTGGAAAGCCTGGCGCTCACGGAGGGGCGGGGCAGGGGTCCCGGCGCGCAGGGAGGGGCGGGGCAGGGGTCCCGGCGCGCAGGGAGGGGCGGGGCTGGAAAGCCTGGCGCCACGGAGGGGCGGGGCTCGGGACTACCAACGCGTGGAGCGCGGGGCGGGGGAACAGGCGCTCACGCAGGGGTGGGGCGAGACGGGGATTCAGGCTCGCACCGGATCGCGGGGCTGGATCCAGAAGCGCACCGAGGGACTGGGCGAGGCGGGGCGGGAACCGGGCACTCGCGGAGGGCGGGGCGGGGTCGTGGGACGTCGGCGGCAGCTCGGCCTGCTGCTCACTCACAGTAAATGAAAGCGAGGGCCTTCAGGAGCACTATCCTGGTCAGCCAGAAGGTGCCCGCGCGCAAACGGTCCGGATAGCCCTCAGGATCACGACTCGGCACGGGCGGTGACCCAGGTCCCGGTCTCGGTCCCCGATCTTCCGCTTCCTCAGCGACCCCTCGGGCGCAGCCATTGTCCGGCCGTCTCCAGCGCATGCGCAAGGAGGGCGAGGACGCCGAGAGGCCCCGCCCACCAGCCCGCCGCCGCTCTCTCTGCGGCAGGCTCCGCCCACTTTCGGCCAGCTCCAGTTCCATCTGCTGGTGTCGCGGAGAGTACTGGGTGCCCCGGCCAGACGCCTGTTCTCAGGACTGTCCGTCCAAGTGAGGAAGACTTGGGAAGGAGACGGTGGACAGTACGTCCTGCGCGTCCCTGGGTTCGGGTCTCCAGCCTGTGCAGGGAAAGGCCTGGCTTGGAGCGGCAGAAGGGCAGGGACGCCATCCAGAGCTCCTGGGCTGCCACCTGGGTTGTGGCTGGTGATTCACACGTGCCCCCTTTACCGACCTCCCATTCCCACTCTGTGCAGAGGATGCTGGACAGCCGTTACAGATAGAGTGGCTCTGAAATTTTGTCTGGACCCTCCAGCTGCCTAGCCCACCCTAAAATGCCCTAGTGTCTCTGTTCAGCAGCAAAGCTCCACCAGGTAAACAAGTTCGGGGACTGGACCTCAAGCCTTGGGGGCAACATGGCCAACTGGAGACTCAGAGGAGGGAAGAACTTACTGACCAGTGCCTGAACAGAGTTCTGCTTTCTGATAGAGTGGGCATTCCCAGCCATAGGGATTATGGGCAATCTGTGGAGCTCTTGGGAAGAACTCATGAGATGTGGGGTTTTCCTTGTTCATTGTTCAATGCTCTTTACATATTAAAGATCCTATTCCTTTGTGCATATTGCAACTGTTTGTCTTGGTTTTGTTTTTGGTTTTATTTCTTGTGTTTAGCCTCTCAATTTTGTTCCTGGTGTTTTGACACATAAATTACTGATACTTGCATGGTCAGATGATCTGGATTTAATGTTTATTTGTACCTTCACACCTGCAGTGAGCATGGTGAGGGCAAGACTGGCTGTGGACATTGGATCCCCCAGACCTAGAGCAGACCTGCAACTCCTGGGTCCCTCCCCAGCTTCCCCTTGTTGCTGGCATAAGTACATCCTACAGTATTTCCCGTCCCCCTTTTTCAGAAAACAAAAACAAAAACAAACAAAAAAAAACCTTCCCTCAGGAGCCCAGCTGTGAAGTGTGACCCACAGCAGATGTTGCTGTGGGCGGCACAAACACCTTCCACTTCCTGCTGTGCCTCCCACAGGGCAGTGTGGGCCCAAGGTCTTGAAACATTGGGGTCTGGAGGGGCAGTCGGTTCTGGCTCATGGCCTGCCCCTGGGTCCTTCCCAGGAGCTGTCTCCTCACCTCTCCTCCTTGCTGCAGGGTGCCAGGCATGGGATGGACCAGCATGGCCATTTGGGGAGGACAGTCTAAGCCTGCAGAGCCTCACCGGGTCCTGTCTACAGGCCAGAGCCGCACAGGGGACAGAAGGCAAGAAGCATAGCTCTGCCATCAGGTGTGACCCTGGGCGCTATGGTTCAGGTGGACCGTCCTCACAAAGGGCCCTTTGTCCTCAGCTTCCCCTTGCTGGGGCTGCATTGTCCTCCCCAAAGAAGGGCACAATGGCACATTGTGCCGAGCAGAAAAGGGCCCCTTGTTCAGCATCCAGCTCTCCAGCTTGGGCTCAGCTCCGGGCTCCCTCTCCAGCTTTTGCCCAGGGTGGGTGAGGCCAGCAGAAGGGTCTGCTGGGAGCTACTGTCCTCTGCGGCTCGGGTTTCCTGCCCAGTCTGCCTTCCTGGGATGATGTCTGGAACTGGCTGGACAGCAGGTCACACGGGGCACACCCGAGCCAAGGAAAGGCCAGCCAATGGGCAAGATGCCCATTTCTGCCCAAGTGTAATTAAAAGTGCCCTGGGGTATTATACCCATAAAGAGGAACAAAAATCTGACACAGGCTACAACATGGATGAACCTCGAAACACCAAGCTAAGTAAGACAAGACAGACACACGTGTGATTCCATTTTAATGTGCAGATAGGCAATTCCAAGGGGAAGAAAGTAGATGAATGGTTGCCAGGAGAGGGAATGGGGTGAGAGTGCTCAGTGGGTGTGGGGGCTTCTTTTGGGATGACAAAATCTTGGAACTAGACAGAGGGAATGGCGTGTGACATTGTGAATGTAGTAAGTGCTGTGGAACCTTTATTTTATGATGGCTGGTTTTTTTGGCTTAGGTGAATTTCACCTCAATTAAAAAAGGTGCTCACTTCTGCAGCACATATACTGAAATTGGAATGACAGAGAAGATTAGCATGGCCCCTGCAGATGGATGACACACAAATTTTGAAGCATTCCATATTTTAAAACAAAACAAAAATCACGAAAAGGAAATCCCTGAAGTAGAAGTTTCATAATCACCTGGAAGGTGTTGCTTTTACGTGGCAGAGTAAGTCATTTGCATCAACTCTGCCTCTTTGTACTAGGCATTGCACAGTTTAAAATCTAGATACCAATGGGTTTCATGCCATAAGATGCTACACATAGAAAACAAAACCTCTGCAACCCCAGAGAAACGGGATGTGGTGGTGTGTGCTTGTAATCCCAGCACTGGGGAGGCTGCAGCAGGAGGATCAAGAGTTCAAGGCCAACTTAGGCTACACAGTGAGACCCCTGTCTAAAAACAAAGCAAAATCCATATGGAGTTGCACAGCCAGAAATTCACACATGCAAAGAAAAAGTCAACCTGACAGAGGCCAGAGGGAGCTGAGATGAGGCAGAGCTGCTTGGGCCTTGGGGACAAGAGCCCCAGAAAAGGAGGAGATTGTGTTGGGGAGGGGTCCTGTCCGTCCCTAGCTGGGGCGCCAGCAACCTCCCCAGCACAGCCACCGGGACAGGGAACACAGCCTTTGGCTGGCGGCTCTCCCAGCAGCTGCTGAACGGCTTCACAGAGGAATAAGCCCCTCTGTCAGCACCTCATCCAGCTGTCCCCGGGCACTCCAGCCCTGCAGCCCCCACCACATCAGGGCCATTGTCCCCGACATGCAGTCGCAGCTGTCTCTGGCACCCTCATGAACCCAGCTTGGGCCCGAATCACGTCGTGCACCCTTCATTTAGTTCAATTTTTCATGTCTCAAAGTCTGCTTGGGGAAGGAGGGGCGGGCAGGACCCATGGATGCTCACATCTGTTGCCTTCCCCTGGGGGGGGGTCAGTTTGGGCTGCTCTTGCCCCGACTGTCCAGCGGCCAAAATCGCTGGGGGAGGCTGGCAGGTGCGATGGGTGGGTAAGGGAGTGAGCAGGTGTCGTAACATTTGCAGGCTGTGCAGAGGCCGTGACTCACAGGCGGCTGTTCTGTTGGCTCACGAGTCTCTTCTCCTGTACCCTCAGCTCCCCCTGCACCCATGGAGGAGATGGGGCACCAAGTGTCCGCAGCCAGTGATTTCTAGGCAGAGTGGAAGCAAAATCTCCCAACAGTTCTATTCTCTGGTGGCAGTCGTGTGGGAAAACATGGATGTGCCCCTTTTATTTTTGGAATTCTATTCTGAACTGGAAGAAATCCTGGAAACTGGTCAACCCAGAGGTCAGAACCTGGAGGCCTGTGGGCTGGATTCTGCCCACAGAACTGTATCAATCTCTGTATTGGTCACCAATGGCCCCACTAATGCTGTCTAACAAACAGCCCCAAACTTTGAGGCCTGTATGTAGGCGGTGCCACCCAGTGCCAGACCCCACAGGTTGGGCACAGTGGCAGAACCAGGCAATTCCTGTGAGGCTCTGCCCAAGACTGCTCTGACCCTTTCAGACCTGGCTTCTTCTCCCTCAACACTGGCTATCTTGTGCTGTGGGGGAACCACAGAACCCCTGGGAAAAAAGCACCTCGGAGACAGCAGAGATCTTCCATGGGTGTGTTTAATTTTCCCTTGGTCCTGAGGGTTGCCAGAACCTTCCATCATAGCAGAGGAGCCAGCAGAAGCCCCTCTTCCTACAAGCAGGTTTTTCTTCACGGCAAATTCATTTCAAGACACCATCTGCCTTCATGGTTATATTGGAAACGGCTCTGCTCTGAGGGGCTCAAATGTGGACACTGTAGGCCAAAAACCTCATTAGATCTGAGAGTCCAGCTTGAAAGGATGGGCACCGAGCTTGGCAGAGTGTGGGCTTAGAGGCTGGTTTGTGAAATCAAGAGTCCAGTGAGTATCCTGGTCTCCAGTAGATATGGCTGATAGCCTCTCCCAGGCTCAGAGTCACATCTCAGTGCCCAGAGGAGCCTGGCACAGAGCAGTTGATGGGGAAGACAGGAAGGGCCAGGGTAGGCTGCAGTCCAGAGGAACAAGGGTCTGATACAGGGCTGGGGCCTGGAGGCCTAGATGTCTGGTGTCAGACACCATGAGCCAGCCTGGTGCAAAACACCAACCCACACACGTGGGCACAAACAAGGTGGGACGTGTGGGTCTATGGAATGAAGAGATCCCGAGGAAGCCTGGCAGAATCCAAGTCCAAACACCAACAGTCTGTGCCATGCTCTCCAGCACATGGTGCTGGTGCCTGGCTGAAAGGTGGTATGGTCCTCACTTCAGCCCAGGTATGGCTGCTTGCAAAGCCTGAGACCTTGCTTAGGAAAATTGTCGGTTGCAGCAGTGCTTCAAACTCTGTGCATCAAACAAAAGTGCCAAGCACCAATGTGTGCTGTGAGAGTAAAGCTTCACCCACGGGCCCTGGGTAGGTGGACACACAGGCAGCAGGGACCACTGTGGTTCCCTACACACCTGTAGTCCCTGTGCTCACCTGTCACAGCAGGATAAGAGCACTGGGTAAATCCTTTGATACCCTCCTTACCTCAGAATCTTTTCAAACTGAGTGCATCCCTCCCAGGGGAGTCCCACCCTGCAGTCAGTGGCCACTCCCAGGAAGTGTAGTTTACTTATCAGGAGGGCTCCTGGGGCATCGAGGAGAGCAGACAGGTAGGTGAATGCATGCTCGCCCTACCTGGAGGCCAGTGGCACCCCAAGAATCCTGGTCTCACCACACACGGAATGCAGGAGTGGGTGCAGAGAGACCAGCTCCAGCCACCAGCTGGCCAGGAGGCTCTGTTCCTGCAGGGCCGGGCTGAGAGGCAGGGCGACTTTCCATTGCACGCACAGAGGGGCGAGGATGGACATCAGCAGCTCCCAAGCAAATGTCAGCTTGACCAAGGGGCCAGCTTTGACCCTAACCAGAACTTCCATTCAGTCAGCTCTTGATAAATTAAGGTGCATGTGTGGAGGGGTGGGAAAAGAAAGCACTTCCTAGTGTCTGTTACTGGGAGGCCGGACTCCTAGGCATACCAAGTCCTGCCTCTCTAGGGACCTGGCAGGCAGGATGTCTATCTTCAGCAGCCACTGACTGCTCTGAGTTTACTTTCCCTACTCCCACATTTCATTTCTGCTAGACCAGCCAGTAATTAAAAGTAGCAATTAATTTCCAAGGCTGCACAGGATGCCATGTCAACTGCCTGACACACCTCTCTGAACACAGTGGCCGAGGGAGGCCAGGCCAAGGCTGTGGACACACAGGAACACACCAGCTTAGAGTTCATAGGCCCACTTGGCCCTTTGCCAACGGACACAGTGTGCCCAGACTCCAGGACAAGGGCCAGACAGACTGGGAGAAGGGCACGGAGGGTGCAGTACAACCAGGACCCTCCTCCACAGTGGCACTCAGCCTGCAGCAACCCCTCCATCGCCAACACACATGCAGGGCTTCCTGAATCACTGTCCCTAGAAGACAAAGGTAGAGAAGCAGGAGGCTTTGTGCCTGGAACGCCACTCCAAGCCAGGACTGGCCCTCACTGTGGTACGCATGGTGCCGCCAGGACACACCTCCTTCTTGCACCTGCAACAAGGCGCCAAGTCGACTCTGCAACTGTGGGCGGGCCCAGCAACTGTGTTCTCACCCCCTGCAGCCCCTGGTCTAGGGATGGATACCTGAGCCAAGTTCAGCCAATCATTTCCTCGCTCTGAAACTGCAAAGCCCACCAGATGATGGAGAGGTCATGAGACTGGGATGAAGTCAGGGAGGCTGGGCAGAGCCAACACCAGCAGGAGGAGGTCTACCCCTGGACAAAGACCTGTGCTAAGAGGTGGCTCAAATGCTGCTGCTCAAGTTATAAACCACTCTGACTCGACTTGTTCTCAAATGCCCGTGCTCTTTGCTTCCTCAGGACCTTTGCACAAGTTGCTGCGACCCCTCCCAGGAAGTGCTCTTTCCTCCTTGCTCCAAAATTGGAAGTTTTGGTTCTCAGCTGAACTGTCATGTCTTAAGCCCTCTGGGACTATACTTTCTAAAGTCCCTCCCCTCTGGGGACCATTTCAGTCCCTGGAGAGGACTCTCTGCCCCCCCACCCCCACCCCCAACACCAGCATACTATAGTCCCGATCCTATTGCCTATGAGAGCCATGGCACGAAGCTGTGTTCAATCACTGCTAAGGACACTCCTGCCGTCCTGGACAACTCCCTCTGGAAGCCACTATCCCATGTCCACTCAGGACCTGCCTAGTGGGTGAGGACACAAACTCTGGTAAGCACAAAGGAAAGCAAGGGCCAGACAGTACTGGCATTTCCCTGAGGACTTCAAGGTGGCTCAGAGATGAGTTAGTGGGACCTCAGGGACCAGCAGTATTCACTGACCCTAATGGGGTCAGGGTCAGGAAGAGCTGAACCCTCAAGCTCACAACTGCAATGTGGGAAGTGCAGCCCCAGCTTTCAGCTCCTCCCCACCAGTGCCCTGAGGGGTTTCTGCAGCCAGGGAAAGGTGCAGGCTCTGGGCAGAGCCTGGGATAGGCCTTCACTCTTGAGCTTGTTTTCCTTTCCTCCAGAGGTCCCAGGAATCACCTCCTCTGTGTCCTGGGGATATGAGAATTAGGTGTGTCATAACTCCCTGAGGGTGGAGGCCAGGGAGAGGCTGCCCTGCAGCCAGTGTAGTCTGGAGCTTTTTGTTTTCTTAGCAAAGCAAAGTTCTCCATTAAGACTGAGGCCCCTAACAATGGGGCCCAGGGACTATGGATCCCAAGTTCCCAGAGACAAGGGGCTGAGAGGCAGTGAGTTTGAGCAGGGTCCCCATCCTTGATTTCTCCACTCTACACCTCTGTCTGGCATGGACTCTGCTCTGATAGCACCCTCCACTGGTGCATCCCTGGGGACTGGTGGGGAAGGGTCTTTCTTCGTAGTGACAGAGCAAAAGAAGGCAGATGAAAGGACAAGGAAGAAGTGAGCCAGCTCCCCATCTGTGCTCACAGGGACCCCTGACCTGAACAAGGTCAAAACCAAGAGCACCTTCTCTTCCTAAACTGTCACCTCAGTGATGGTGGGAGGTCCCTCGCTCTTCAGCTCTCTGCATGGTGCTGTCCCACTCCAAAAATCAAGGTCGGAGGGCCTGGTCAAGGCCTCCCCCTTGGAGTCAGGAGGTGGGAGGTGGGTCCTGCGCAGTCAGAGGTAAGCTGGCTGCTGGGTTGTTAAAGGGCATGCTGGAGGCCTACTACTCAGGATCCACAGAAGTCCCATTTGGACTTTGCCGGTCCCGGAGCAGCCCTTCTGCTGAGAGGAACAAGAGTTCTTCTGCGGCTGCTGCATCTCCGGCCCCGGAGTCCACGGCTTGGGACTGTGCAGCTGGGGGAACAAAGTGGCCTCGTTTGGGGTCACCTGGGTCTCGAGAGCCACAAGCACGCCGCCCCCACGGTGGCCACCCTAAGGGGAGGAGGCGGTGGGTCCGTCGCCTCCCGCGAGTTTGGCGAGAGAATCCGAGCCACCCTCAGGGACTGCCGGGCTCGGGGCCAGCTCGCGGGGGCGACCTCAGGCGGGGCTCGGAGTCGCGGCTCGGAGCTCGCCTCGGGGGAAATGTCCCCTTGTCGACCCCAAGCATTCCTCCTCTCCAGGCGCCTAGGCGCAGCGGCTTGGCGTGGCCTCCGCCTCCGCTAGACCACCCAGGGCCGCCCGCCAGGGCCTCCACGCCCCCGCCCCGGGTCACGCCCGGAAGGCCCCGAGCCCCCGCGTCCGGCCCCACCATCCTATGACTGCCCCAGGGACCCAGCAGCCTCGGCCAGCTCTGCCCCGCCCAACGCTCCCACCCCACGGCTACCCGGGCACCCACGACCACGAGCCCCCAGCGCTGTCCGGTCCCCCAGCTCATGATCGCGCGTTACCTGGACTAACAGCGGGAGCGGGGTGCTCCTGAGCGCGGAGCCCGGCAGTACCGAGAGCGGGACGTCGGGGCTCCGGACCCTGTGTACCCGCTTTCCCGCTGGGCGTCGGGCTCCGCGGAGCTGAGACGCGCGGCACAGGACGGAGCGAGACGCAGCCCCGCCCGTTCCTCTCTTGCCCGCCCCCGGGAAGGGGACCGCGGGGCGCAGGCTGCGGGGCGCCGGGCCCACGTGGTACGGCCTGGAAGGGTGGGGGCCGCGGGCTTTCTTCGGGGTTGGGGCGGGGCTGCCAGGCTCCGCCCCTAGACAGGGGCGCGGGCCAATTGGGGCCGTGAGGGGCGGAGCCTCGGCCGCCGCTTAAAGAAACTTGTTGCGGGTCCGGGAGCGGGGACGGAGCTGCGGCGGCGGCGAATTGGGAGCTGGGCGACGGCTGCAGGGACGAAGGTTGGGCCCTGCGCGGCGACCTCGGGTCCCGGAACGGCTGCAGCGCGCCTGAACGCCGACCCCCGCGCCCATCCCCAGTGCGCGCCCCTCCGCGCGCGGCTCCAATGCTGGACATGAGCGAGGCCCGCACCCAGCCCCCCTGCAGCCCCTCTGGCACCGCCAGCTCCATGTCGCACGTGGAGGACTCGGATTCTGACGCTCCGCCGTCGCCAGCCGGCTCCGAGGGCCTGGGGCGAGCGGCGGGCGCGGGGGGCGGCGGCCGGGGCGACGCGGCAGAGTCGGCGGACGAGCGCTTCCCCGCCTGCATCCGCGACGCCGTGTCGCAGGTGCTCAAGGGCTACGACTGGAGCCTGGTGCCCATGCCGGTACGCGGCGGTGGCGGCGGCGCGCTCAAGGCCAAGCCGCACGTGAAGCGGCCCATGAACGCCTTCATGGTGTGGGCGCAGGCGGCGCGCCGCAAGCTGGCGGACCAGTACCCGCACCTGCACAACGCGGAGCTCAGCAAGACACTGGGCAAGCTGTGGCGGTGAGTGCGGGGATCCCGGGAGCGGGACCCCTACCCGCGCTGTCTGCGGACTGCCCCGCGGGGGAAGCGCAGGGGCTGGACGAGGTGGCAGTGCGCCCCGGGATTGGGCTGTGCTCCCAGCGTGGTTCCAGGGTAGGTCCGGTGGAAAAACACCAGTCGCCAGGTGCTGAAATCAGGTTGTGGATGAAGGGCGTTTGCCTGGAGTGGGGCTCTCTGGCTCATTCTCCCCTCTTGGGACACGCTGTTGAGGGTTGTGGAGTTGGGGACCCCATCTGTGAGTGACCTGCCTCAGCTGGAGACCTGCAGGCACAGGGCAGGCAGCTAGCTGTACTCTTGGAGGTGCCCTTTCCTGAGAAAGGGCTGGGACCCTGATCTCCCCACCACCCTTGGGAAGGGAGTCCAGAAGTTCTGCCCACTGGTACAGTCTCCTCTTCTCCCTCTCCCTGGCCACCTCTGCACCCAGAAGAGGGGAAGGAAGGCGTGTGGGTGAAGAGACTGGTGGAGGTTCTGTGCATACTTTGGCATGGTGAGAGTGAGTGTTGTGTGAAGCAGAGAACTTGCTGCTAGCCTCAGCCCACCCTTACCAAACATCCACTACTTGAGTTTAAAAAGCTGGGCCGGGGTGTGAGTTGTCCCTCCATCTTTTCAACGTGGGCACAGAGCCCATTGGCTCTGCACCTCTGAGTCCTGCCCCACAAGCAATTAGAGGTGCACAACTGGGAGTCTGAGGGGCTTGTGTGCTCTGAGGATAGGCATTTGGATTTTGCCCTTGCTACTGGAAGCCTGGGAGTTGGAGGGGCAGCAGCCCAGCTGAGTCCAGCACCAGCACGGTTCTCGAGAAGCCTTGCCTTTGTGCACAGTTCTCTCTGGGTCCTGTCTGCCTCCCCACCTCCCTCAGAAAGCTCCAGAGGGAGGGAACAGACAGGCTAGGAAAGAGGGGAAGTCAAAGGAAGAAGACAAGACAGTTCGGGTTTTGTTCCATAGTAAGCACACAGACCTCACCAAGCAGGCCCCGAGGGCTCAAGCTGGGAGGGTCTCAGAGAGGGGAGTGTCCACTTGGTGCCCAGGACGCTTAGCATGCGGGGCAGCTTTCCCTGCTGGACAGTGTCTCCAGTGCCCTGGCCTATGCCTGTCGCCAAACCAGCCCCCACGGGGCAGCATACGTGCCGATTCTGGCTACACATGGTCAGCACTGGAGCCCCGTGGCCATCCCTGCCCTGCTGTGTGCTCTGCAGCTTGCTGAGTGAGAGCGAGAAGCGGCCATTCGTGGAGGAGGCCGAGAGGCTTCGTGTCCAGCACAAGAAGGACCACCCGGACTACAAGTACCAGCCACGCCGGAGGAAGAGTGTCAAGACTGGACGGAGCGACTCAGACTCCGGCACAGAGCTGGTCCAACACCCTGGCGGTGCCGTGTACAAGGCTGACTCAGTTCTCAGTGACTCACATCACCACGGCGACCACACAGGTGGGATCCAGGGCCCTGCAGCGTCTGCGATCCCCGTGGGAAAAGTCAGTGGATGGCTGAGCCTTAGGGGCCAGGGGTTCCCAAAGAACCAGATCTTCCACAGGTACCCCGAAAAAGCCCCCAGTTGCAGCTGTTCCTGATCCTGCGGTGGGGTGGCCATTTATCCTCATGAGCCTGAGAGCCCCAACTATTGTGCTCAGTCTGACACCCCTGAGATGGGTGTTTAGCTGGACTTACCGACAGGGTCTCCATTCTCTAATGCAAGCCACTGTCAGAGTAGGGTCAGTAGCCCCAGCTTCAGAATTAGGATGCCGGGTGGGGTCCTAGCAGCCGAGCAGCCTCACTGGAGCTAGCCAAAGCCATGATCCTCAGTTTGTTCAGCTCTGACTGGGAAAGATGGGTTCTGTGTGAATTCACCTTGGTCATGTTTACGGGGCCAGGCATTCCTTGACAGCTTCATTAATGCTGGTGGGGCCAGCTGGCCACCTTCCTGCTCACCACCTTGGTCTTCAGGCAGGGGCCTTGAGTCTCCCCGCAGAACAGTGTTTAACGGAATTTTCTGGGCTGAGGAGTGAGGTCTGGGTCTGAGCTGGCAGGAATTTCTGGGAAAGTAAAGAAACAAAAAGCCGTTGATTCGTACCTGCGGCAGTTAGCTAGGTTGCTGGTGTCGCCCGCCGGCGCCACCCCAGCCCTACAGAAGGGGCATTCATCCCTGCAATGTGCTCTCATCCCCAGGCCAGACCCACGGACCTCCCACCCCGCCCACCACCCCCAAGACAGACCTGCACCACACCGCCAGTGGGGGCAAGCAGGAGCTGAAGCTGGAAGGGCGCCGTCTGGTGGACAGCGGGCGTCAGAACATCGACTTCAGCAATGTGGACATCTCGGAGCTCAGCAGTGAAGTCATCAGCAACATGGACACCTTCGATGTCCACGAGTTTGACCAGTACCTGCCCCTCAATGGCCACTCGGTCCTGACCACAGAGCCCAGCCAGGCGGCTGCTGCTGGATCTTATGGGGGCACCTCCTACTCCCACTCAGGGGCAGCCGGTGTTGGGGCGTCCCCCGTGTGGGCCCACAAGGGAACCCCATCTGCCTCAGCGTCACCCACCGAGGCGGGACCTCCGCGGCCACACATCAAGACGGAGCAGCTCAGCCCCAGCCACTACAGTGACCAGTCACATGGCTCTCCAGGCCGTTCTGACTACAGCTCCTATAGTGCCCAAGCCAGCGTCACCCCGGCCGCCCCTGCCACAGCCACCAGCTCCTTCGCCAGTGCACAGTGTGACTACGCTGACCTGCAGGCCTCCAACTACTACAGTCCCTACCCCAGCTACCCGCCCAGCCTCTACCAGTACCCCTATTTCCACTCGTCACGCCGGCCCTATGCCTCGCCATTGCTCAACGGTCTCTCCATGCCTCCCGCCCACAGCCCCAGCAGCAACTGGGACCAACCAGTGTACACCACCCTGACCAGACCTTGAGGCCACCCATGCCCTGGGGGGATTCAGCATCCGTGGAAGACAGCCAGGTCCCTGAGATCTCCCAGAAGAGTGCTTTTAGCGAGGGGGAAAGCAGCCAGCGTGGCCGCACTCTTGTCAAGTGCCTGCTGAATCTGTGGGAAGCCAGGCTTTGTCACCAGATGTTTCTTTGCCTCTGGATCTCCAAACTTCTGCCAGCAGACAGAGCTCTCTCTTCCTTCTTTCCTCTCTCTCTCTCTCTCCCTCTCTCTTTCTTTCTCTCCCTCCCTGAGGTGACTAGTGATTCCAAAATAGTCATTCATTCATTCGAGGACCTGTGGCACCCGTGCATCTGGGTTTTGCATCTCAGTAAATGAGACTTGTCAGCCACAGCAAAGGAGGGAAGGGCCTGAGAATCAGGGCTGGATATGTTCAGATCCGCACCAGCCTGGATGCCAAGAACCTCCTAGGACCAGAGGATGCTGTTGCTGCGGCAAGTACAGCCTGAGGACACGTAGGGAAGTGTGTACTTGGACAACTTTTGGGACCAGCCAGGAGACTGTAGTCAAAGTTCTTCCTGGCAAGGTTTGACTGAGATGAACACTTCTCCTTTCATGTTTTTGTTTTTGGTTTTTTTTTTTGATAATTTTTATTTTAAAAGCTTAAACGTGTTTGTTTTGAAAGCTGTTAAAGACGTATTTATGTTCCGTATTATTTTATCTTTAATTAATGAAGTAATTTGTGCAGAGAGTAGAATTTAAGACAGAATAAAAGCCGGGGAAGCGTCTGCACGAGGGGCAGGTTGGAGGTGGGCTCACAGTGCTCAGAGGCTTGGAGTTACTGGGCCTTTGAGAAGCCCCCTGAGTCTCACGAGTTGGAGGGAGCAAGATTTTGCCTGGTGATGTCTGATCAGAGAGGAACACCCAACACCGGCATCGGGTGACTTTGGAGGCTGGAGTGCCATCCCCTCCCAAGACAGTGCCAAGTGGTAGAAGACAGAATTTCCTGCAAATGGTGGCTGTGGAACAGCGATAATCTAGGCTCTCTGGCATCAGGCGCCACCTACCAAGCTGTGAAACTAAACCTCCTCCGCTAAACGTTTCATAGGTTCCTAGTAGGGGGTTATACCTGATTTACCGGATTGCTTCCGCCGTGTGTTAAGCGTATGACAGCTGCCTACTTCCGCCTATTTCGTGGAAACTTGTGCCTTTGAAACTTTGTAAATTTAAATACATCTGAGAAGTTGCTTCTTTTTACTTTTTCTACTTTTCCAATCTTTTTCTAGGAAAGACCTCGTGTTTCTTTATTTTTTTTCTCTTTGCGTATCTTTCTGGTTGGGGGGGTGGGAGTGGGAACCACAACAAACTCATTTTTATGCAATCTGTTTGGTTTGTTTTTTTTTTCCGGTGTCAACTTCAGAAAAGACTTTTGCTCACCTGCCTGCTGTGTTTCGCTACTTTCTGACCAAGCAGTGCTAACTTTTGTACAGATTGATTTGATAAGATTAAAAAAATGCTTTTTATCTATTCGGACTGTGTCTTGTGCACTGTTTTCCCTGAGCCTGAGTACCACACTGGCACGGTTTCCTGGCAAGGGTGGGGTTAGGTTCTACCGTGGGTCTGATTCCAGGGGGCTTCTGTGAAGAGGTAGCCTGGAGCCCACCCAGAACCCCCCAGGGCAGGGGTCAGATACATCCCTATCAGCCGCTGGGTCTGAATTTCAACACCCTGCTCTTAGCTTCCTCTGTGACCAGTTTCCTTCTGGGAGGGTCTCCTCAGTAGGCAAAACGGGTGCAGATGAACGGTTCTGGGGCCGTGCTTTCCTCGTAGGAAACTCGGGGCTGATCTCTGGGTGGCTACGCAGCACCGAAAGCTGACGGCATTTTTCGGGCACCGGCCCAGAGCCAGACTGGGAGCGGATGAAAGCTGCCCTGCGGGAGCCGCAAAATTATCTACTTGGATGGAAGTTTCTAGAGAGAAATGGATGTGGGGAGTGGTGGTGAGCAGGGGCACAGGTCCCCTGGCCAAGCCTCCAGAGCAACTGTGACTTGGTGAGGGCTTTACAGGCTGGGGCTGGCTACAGTGGGCTGTGCAGACTCACCCTCTGGAGGATTCCTGGGGCGGGAGGAGGGCTATGCCTCTGGGAACCCAGACTTAAGAGAGAGTTGCAATTTTAATCGCTGGCCGGGTAGGGGACACCCACGCTGTCCCCAGCCAGCCCATCCCTGCCTCCCTCACCCCACTCTGGGTCCAGAGTCTGCCAAGAGCAGCGTGAGGAAAGAGCTGCCCGGATTTATGAGGGCTCTTGAGATCCGGGTGTGCTTAAGGTGAGGGAGAGTCTGGGCAGAGGCTGCAAAAACCATGCTGAAGGATGGCTGCAACCTTCACAGCCTGCTGCCTACACAGACCCTGCCTAGCCTGTCCTGCATCTAGCCAAGGGCTGTCCGGTCCCATATGGCCCTCAAAGTCCCCACATTGATGCCCCAGACCAAGGAGAACCCCAGGCGTCCGGCTGGCTGACAAAGCCTCGAGGCCCTGCTGCTGTGCCGGGACTCACTTTGGGGCTTGCCAGGTTCCCGAGGGCTGGACAACCCTGCCAGTTTTCTTGGGACTTGGCGAGACTCCCGAGAGTTAACTCCTGGGGCCCAGGCCCTTCTGTCTCACTGACCAGCCTGGAGCAAAAGCCCCTAGCCTGGTCCCTGATAAGCCTCCCACGGGTCCCCCTGTACCTGAAGAGGATGGGCACCTCTCCTGGCACACGGCAGTGCCCTTCCCTGCAGGGATGCCCTGGGCTTTGTGCCTCCTGTGCTGTGCTGGAGGCCTCCCCTCAGCACCCTCAGTCCTCAGAGGCTGAACCCGAGGCCAGCGCCCAGGAATTCTCCCTAGGCCGGGCCCCTCACTGATGCACTGAGTTCGAGGCCAGGGTGGATGCCCAGGGACTGAGACCACTGTGCCGGTCCTCTGGCTAGTGTGGGTTTTGTAAGAGAAGATGTGTCCCGTGTCAAACTCCAAGAGCTTCCGGTTGACAACATTTCTAAGGCCGCCTTTGACCTGCCTCGCCCTGGGTCCAGTTCTCCCACAGAGCAGCCACCCCGTCAGCCCATCCCAAAGGCGGCTAGTGGGAAAAGTTCCTCATTTTTCACTTCCCTGCCCAGGACAGACATCATGGCCTCTGACCCCCATGGAATGGAACAACACCCTGTGCAGACAGAAAGGGGAAACAATGCTGCCAATCCACCCCAGTGTCAGATAGATTGAAAAAGTCCCTGGGATGGAGTCGGCTCTCGGGACAGGTTTCTGTTTGGACAAGAGGGCCTGTGTCCTCTGAGCAGCTGACCCACTCTTCCACCTTTCTACTTCTGGGGTCCTGTGTTCTGCAAGAAGCAAATATGAAAATGTCGTGTCCCCACGGTCTATATATGAGGGGCGTAAAGGACAGGGTAGTGTGGTGCTAAATACCCACCCAGCCCACCACAGAACCGGTGTCTGTCTCCAGGAGCTTCAGTCCCTCAGCCATAAGACGAGAGCAGGGCTGCTGGGAGAACTCAATGACATTAAGACCTGTCTGGGTCCAGGTGCTATTCAGAGGCCCAAATCTGACTCTGGTGGAATTGTCACTACGTTAAGCCACATGGCCATTTTGTAAAAATCAGGTGGGTTTGCCAGCAAGAAAACAGAAGAGAAGTGAAGTGGGCACAGAGTGAGTCCTAGGCAGGTTCCTGCCTCTTCCTCCTGGCCCATCCCTGGACAGAAGCCCAACAGCACCTCGCCTGCCTCTTACTGCTGCTTTGGGGGGCATCTGAGCAACTTCCTGTGGGGTGGCAGGAAGTTCTGCCACTTGCAGGTTGGCCTGCCATGCCTCAGTTTCCCATGTGCCATAGAATGGTAGGTAATGAGCTCTCTGAATTGAGCAAGGCCTGGCATGACTGTGCCTAGCACACTGACCTGTGCCACTGACTGCCATCTTCCTGCCTGTGTTGGCTAAACCTCAAAGCCACTTGTTTCTGGAACCCTGGGTTCTATTTGGGGCAGACACCCCTCCCCAAGTCTTCCTGCTTCCCTCCACTCTCCTTCCCCAAGAGGCTGTGGTCAGAACCTGGGGTCTGCCCCGAGCCTGGATAGGTCAGCCTGGCCAGGGGCCCCCTGGATTCCCAAACACAGTGCTGGGCCGCTGAGGTCAGCCGTGGGAAAGTGTGAGATGCCCATCTTCCTCCCCATCCTGAACTGGCTCATGGCTGGATTCTTCAGGACATCCAACCCAGGGGACTCTGCAAAGGGTTAAGGGGTGCAGGCAGCCGTGCCCACAGCAGGCAGAGTGGCTCGGCTGGTGCCCAGCCAAGAGCTGCAAAGGCGCTGCATTTTAATGAATCATTATTGCAGGGGAGGCCTTTGTCTTTCTTTATCCGGTGCACAATAAAAGAATTAATTAGACAGAAAATGGCAGGGCAAGGAACTGACAAGTCGTTAAGGGCTGCTGAATGACGGATGAGATGCACGCAGGATTTCGGCTCCAGAATGATAATGCCCGGCTGAGTGCTTTGTATGCATGACCAGCAGTCTTCGGAGGCCTGGCCAGCGCGGACACTGGGCCCTGACTTTCCAGGCGGGGCTGAGTGAGAGCCAACAGGGCAGAATCGTGTATTGATTTCTGTGTGCAGACGTGGCAGTCAGTGTTTAGGTACAGAAAAGACCTTGGGGAAGTTGCTCTGCCCTTTGGACTTTACTTCTGGACTGGAGGACAGACATAGTGGGGGTGTGAGAAGCGAGGCTTGGGGGAGAAGGAGAGGAGAGAGGAGACCAGAAGAGGAGGGAGGAGAGCAGGAGGGGCAGGAGGAGCTGACTGTGCCCAGTCTGGTTATTCACACGTCAGCTGGAAACAAGTGCAGCCCACAGACTGGCTTTCCTGCTCAGAAAAATTGGGCTCCTTATGAGACTGTGTCCTTCACAATGACCACCAAAGGGATCAGACTGGAGGAGTCTAGGCCAGGGTAGGAGCAGAGAGGCGAGTGAATTAGGAGTTAGCCG